TTAAAGCAACATTCACATACAAACCCTAGGTCCCTCCAGAAGGAACATCCTCATCTAAACTATTAGCCGCTGCAACATTAAAACAAACTTGGTCGTTCCTGTACGGGACAGGAGGGCTAGCTAATGGTGTTATAAATCCCCAATGGAATCTGGTTCCCAGTAATGCAAATATCATTCTTCCTTAAATCATTCCTGAGCTATTAAAGCAACATTCACATACAAACCCTAGGTCCCTCCAGAAGGAACATCCTCATCTAAACTATTAGCCGCTGCAACATTAAAACAAACTTGGTCGTTCCTGTACGGGACAGGAGGGCTAGCTAATGGTGTTATAAATCCCCAATGGAATCTGGTTCCCAGTAATGCAAATATCATTCTTCCTTAAATCATTCCTGAGCTATTTACTTTTTGTACCTTTCCAGGCAAAGTTCAGTCCTTTTCAATCAGGGACTGTAATGTTCCTAAATTATTTAGAGAGTTCAAAACTAAGGTCAAGTGAAAGAGGTAGGAACAGATCAAGAAACCATTTGGGAGGATAAAGTTGTGGTGTTATGAACATTTCCTGTTGCACTAAACCCTCTCCCAGGGCTGTGTGTGTGTGTGTGCGTGTGTGTGTGTGTGCGTGTGTGTGTGTGTGCGTGTGTGTGTGTGTGCGTGTGTGTGTGTGTGCGTGTGTGTGTGTGTGCGTGTGTGTGTGTGTGCGTGTGTGTGTGTGTGCACGCGCGCACACACCCCACCAGGCTCTGTTATTAATCAGGCTTCCAAGTATGGCCTCTTGACATCTGCCCAATACCTCCCCACAAAACCCTGTCTGTTCTCTAAAGCCCTTTCCCCACACTCCAGTCAGGTCTTTTCATTGGCTCTTGCTTTTATTGCTTCTAAGCCATCTAAGCTCTGTGTTTTTCTCTTGGGGTCCGATACTTCAGACTGAAGAATTACTCTGACCAAAGATGAACTTAAGAATGCCAGAGACTCCAGAAGGGCCAGACTATTCCTCCAGAGGCTCTGCTAAACTTTCCAAAGGCAGAAATACACACAAAGGACCAGTGCCTCACAGCACAATGAATCTGGAGGGAACAATTCTTTTCTAAGAACACATTCCCCTTACCTCCCCTTTTACAGTTAGGATCAGGACTCAATAAGCACCAACCTGCTAAATGAAACAGCCATATTTCAAAAGCTCTTAAGGAAGGGATTCTGAATGACTCAGATTCTTATGCCAGGCCCATCACCATGGAGTCTGATCATACACAAGTCCACATCACAAAGAACGTCACTGTTCAGAAGAGCTGATGGGACTGGTAATGAGACCGAATGCCTCACGCTGCTAAGACCAGTTTGAACCCAGCCCAAGTCAGCAGCAACTGAACGTTGTTACAGGATGGACCTCACTGGTCCGGCACCTTCAGGATCTGACTGGGATTTGACTGACCAGGGAAGGTCCCTCCCTCTGTGGCCATGTTGCCTACGGGCATGGGCTGTAGCCTGCCCCTGCTGCTGCCTCAGCCGCTCCAAGGCCGGAGCGCCACGGCCAGAACTGGGCAACCGGGGCAGAGCTCCACAGCCACCAGGCTCCGCAGCTGGGGAAGAGCTCCGCAGCTGGGGCGGAGGACCAGGGCCAGAGCTCCACAGCCTGGGCCAGAGCTCCCTGGCTGCCACTGGGGTAGGAGCTCCCTGGCCGAGGCTGGAGGTCCACAGCTGTGGCTAGGCTAGAGCTCCCCGGCCTCTGGGGACAGGGAGCTCTGCTAGGGAACTCCCCACTATGCTGTTCATCCTCCCCTACTCTTCCCGCGCACGCGCGCGCGCGCGCACACACACACACACACACACACACGGGGCTCCCAGCTGAGTCGCCGATGCCCTGCCCTTTCGCCAGGCCTCCCTCTTCCTAGGCTCTGTGGTCCAGGAACATCCGTGGTCTGTTGCTAGACCACGGAGTCCTGGTTAAGAGAGGTACAAGCTGTACCATGTCAGGGCATTCTGATGGCCTGGGTTGTGTGTGAATGAACTAACTCCAGTACCTACTGGGACGTCTGTTGCTAGACCACGGAGTCCTGGTTAAGAGAGGTACAAGCTGTACCATGTCAGGGCATTCTGATGGCCTGGGTTGTGTGTGAATGAACTAACTCCAGTACCTACTGGGACAACCATCCTTTACCACAAAAACCTCTCCCATCATGAGCAGTGAAGAGCCTCCTCTGCGGAGAGGTCAAGGATTTAAATAAGCAAGAAAAATGAGAGACACGCTAAACCCTGGGAATGTCTCTCCTGGATAGGGTTAAGGTATATGGGTAGGCCAGCCTGGCTGCAGAACGTGCAGGAATCACCATTGCGGTGACTTCCAATAAACATTCAATATTCCACTGTTTCTATAGTACAAGAAAAGGAGGGAGCATTATTCCCACTCCTTCCTAGTCAGGGTACAGGATAGCCCATGCCTGCGCTTGCTTGAAACATTGTACCTGGCAATGGAAGATCTTGTTTCCACCACTAATTATTCTAACTGCAATGCCCAGAGGCTGCAATCTTCTCCAGATGTGTAAAATAGAACTTGAAAACCTAAAGAGCCAAAAGATTCCTTAACTCCAAACTCACAAGGTTTGTATTTAAAAGCTCCCCTACAAGCAAACAAAACAAACCACCAAAAAAAACCAAAACAAACAAACCCCCCCAAATTCATTCAAGATTAAAAACTTTCACCAGTTTGGTTGTACTTTTCAGCTGAGAAATGTTTCTTTTTTCTTATAAATACCACATGAAAGATTAGACATTGAAATGTTCATATTTACAGAAATAATTAGAATTCAGTTTCAACTGTTTCCTTCTAATCATCTGCCCACACCAACCTCCAATTGGAAAGAGTCCAATAAAAGCAACAGACGAGTTCGACCTAAGTTTCTGAGCTGTGGGAAAAGAAATGGAGTTTGGCCCCTATGATTTCCAGAACAGTTAAAATAAAGACACCCCGCCTCCAAAAAATCCCAAGTGGGTTCAGGATCTGTTGAGGGTGATGTACACAGTGCTTAAAAGAAATGAAAATAGATGTGGTTTGTAGAAATCAAGCTCTAGACAAAGGCTTTGCTTTATGCTATTGTCCCAGACCCACCCCAAGTTTCTGGTCGATTTCCGGCTAAGACTGTGCTGTTCTCTTCTCCCTCTCTGGGTCTAGGAGAGCAGAAAATGATTTGCACCGTGGGCAGACAAGAGACTCACAAAGCATTGTACTCCACACATTTGGATGGGTCTGTTGGGAAGTGTTTCTGGCAAATGGTCATGAGCCTCTTCAGTCCCTAGGAAGTCAAGAAAACAAGGACAGGTCTGTAATAAACAAACCAACATAACCATTTCCTGGTCAATTCTGAGCATAGTGCAGAGAAGTTCCACACACCAGCATGATCATGTTTTTTTCAAAAAGAGACATGTCTTTAGACAGGGTAACTGCAAGAAAAAGATTTGCCAAATGTTCCAAACAGCAGAGGAAATAGTGGGGCATAACTTACGAATTTAAATCCATCATTCAAACAGTTTCATAGGACAACATATATGTCACTAGCTATTTAAACCTTAGAAAACTTGTTACCTCCTCCAGTAGAGGAAAACCAGCACTATAAGGTTAACTGTGGTGATTGCTTTCACCATTTATACTCTTTGCTTATTATACAACTCAGGTTTAAAATTAAAAGACTGAAGAGCTGTGTAAGCTCAAAAGCTTGTCTCTTTCACCAACAGAAGTTGGTCTCTCTGGTGTCCTGGCTACACCACCAATACCATTCCCACTTTCTAAAACAGCATGTAAAAGCACATGTAATGAAGGACCACAGCTATGGTTGTAGCACGTTAGGCTGCAGTCTAGCAATGGCACGGTACTATAGCTGGCAGGTGTGACAGATGGCCGCCATACATTCTGTAATCCCCAGTGCTTTAGTTCAGAACATGACCTCTGGATGACAGGTGGCATGACTTATGAGAGGGATGAGCCCAGCACTCCAGGAGCTTTGGCCTTTCTATGGATGGCATTTCTGGAAGTGGCCTAGTATTGTCCATCATCACAAGGGCTTCTGGTTTTCAAGATTTATTAATTTCACTGATGGGGGAGGGAGGGGAAAAGGATGTGGATTTTTAGCAATTTTTGAATTTTATGTAGATATCCAAAAATGCACCTGGGCTCACTTTTTATGTATTATAATTTATATTACGTACAGTATTTATTATAGTAGTATATACCATTAAAAAAATCTTTGTACTGCTCCCTACTGCTCTTTAGTATAGTACATTTTCAAACAGTTCTGTATTAAAGCACACTAAGCAGCTTTTAGTGCACACCAGCAGGATCTGCACGCTCCAATGAATGCACAATACATCAGAGTGCTTTAGCAGCCATGCCACTGTAGAAAGTATTTCTGCTCTACATAGATAAGGGCTTAGAGACAAGCAACCATTTCTGTTTTTTTTCCAGAATTTATTAGATAAACACCATTCATTTTATTTTTTTTAAACAGGAGTCTTTTATTGGTGTTTATCGGTTACAGTAAAAAAATCAGAAGCCCTAAATCATTATCACCCTTTGGCTTGGATGCAGCGACCCTGGACTTCTAGAACACAAACCAATGTGCACCAGATATCAAACTGAGCAGTAAAGATATTCCATAATCCAACTTTGAATAGTATATCCTAGAGACAAAGCACACACATGCTTAAAGCCAACCCTGCTTATGGCTGCACAGTTAGCCATGTAGCTGAGCAACATAGTCCACAAAATTCCTCCCACAATGAAGGAGAATTGAGATGGATTTGTACAGAAATCTGCACATTTGGAAGATGTACGCAAGGAGCCCCGGGCAGGCAAATTTACCCCATATTAGAGATAATGAGAAGAGAAACTTCTGCAAGATAGTCAAATTCACTGTATCCTCAGAAGGTTGCTGTGAGAGGATATTACACAGCCCTCTGGGGTAGGCACTTTTTTATGTTAGAGAAAGGATACAGGTCGAAAACACAGATGGAGGAAATTTTCTACAGAGAACATTTATACTGGAGCTAGCATTAGAAGGCCAGGCCTGACACATTCCTTTGACTTGAGTGCCTAAAGCTCCTAAGTACAGAAAACACTGAAGGTTAACTTGAGGTATTTCAGAAAATTCCCCTCAAACAGCTTCAAACACACCCTCCACTCAGAGGCCCCAAAAGCACTCTGAGTGACACTTCCTTTTCCTCCAAGTGATATCCCCTAGTTACATAGCTGGCTTCTGTGAACATCCAAAACAGCGGGAGCATCTAGAAGACATTTCCTCAGCTAGCCAGCCAAATAAAAATATATACCACTCTGGGGGAAAATGAGAGTGACAGCACAGATGGCATCACAATTCATAGTAGGGGCTGGAAGCCATCGGTGGCAGAATGTTGCGGAGGAGGGACTGCTCCACAAGGGCCTGGGGGGTAGTATAGAAGTTTTTTGCCCTATTGAACTATTTCTGCAGGTCACATAGAGAGGGTGCAAAGGCTTTACTTCAGGGCTGCTGCCACAGCAGCCAAAGGTATGTATATGGGACAAGGAGAGGGGTAGTTCTCTCAGACCACTTAGGCCCTTGTGCTGATGGACCCTACCATATATCAATGGGGGGAGAAAGCTCCTACACCAATCTTAAAGGAATCAGCCTTTAAGTTCAGTGGGCTCTATCTGAATGTGGAATGCTGAACCTTTTAAGGAGATAGTGTCCCTTTAAAAGAGAGTTACAGAAGGAAAACTACCATGTTTCTCTGGCTGCAGAAATAAAAGGCCAAGTTGGAAACCTGTTATTTCACCTTCTGTTCAGTCAATTCAACAAAGGTATCACACGCCACATAATATGTGATGTTACAGATTAGAAAATGATGGAGCCCAAGAGACTGAGGCATCTGCTTATAGTTATTTCAGCTGTAATGTAGACAGCTTTTAGTGACAGGTGATGGAAAAAGACATATCAGAATCCGTCCCTAAGCCACCGCATGAGAGGCCCAATGGGTCCAAAATACCGTACACTTAATAAACTGATACTGCATTCAGTCAGCACCAAAAGGCAACAATCTGTACTTACCGCCTTTTATTTTTGCCACATCATTTGTACTTATAAAATTTGTACTATTCAAAGGTCCTCCTAACTTTTAACATCAGGTCTCTAAAATCCAGAGACTAACACTTCTTAAGCCACGAGGAGTCCTGTGGCACCTTATAGACTAACTGAAGTGTAGAAGCATAAGCTTTCGTGGGCAAAGACCCACTTCGTCAGATGCATGTGACGAAGTGGGTCTTTGCCCACGAAAGCTTATGCTCCTACACTTCAGTTAGTCTATAAGGTGCCACAGGACTCCTCGTCGCTTTTGCAGATTCAGACTAACACGGATACCCCTCTGATACTTCTTAAGCCCTTACCTGAATATATTTCCTCTGAGTCTCGTCATTCAAAACGTGGGCCACATGCTTAGAGAAAATCTTTTCCCGACCAGTTCGGGCATGGATGCCAACCATAGTGACACCAATAGGCCAGGGAGCATTGCCAATGGCCATCTGAAGGTATGCATCATTAGCCTGAAGAATAAAAATGTATAAACACTTAGAAAAGCAGAGACACATGAACAGATTAAAGCCCAGGGAATCACTACAGCACTAACTAGCAGAACTTGGAAATCTGCACTCCTCTGCTGTCAGCAACCAGCTGTGAAACCCCCTGACAAAGTTTGAGTCTTATCCCCAGCTCTAGAGACTGGTCCAGAGCATTGTTCCCTGTAAGCTGGGCACTTGTACAACAGCTCAAGAGAGATTCAAATGCCGCCCAGCTGATTGGCAGAGTGCCCACAACTAGGTTTTCTGTTCTAATGGTGGTGCTCATTCATACTTGCCTCGGTGCACATAAAATGTATTCCGCACATGGGTGGAAAAGATTAGAGGAAACAATGGTTGAGAGGACAACAGCCTACTGCTGCTAGCAGTTACCCAATTAGGTCAAGTACCAAAGGTCTGCAACTTAGATCAAAAGATCTACACCCAATTCATGCTAGGAGGTCCGTATGGTTCCACATGATGAAATTTGGTTTTTGAGGAGTTTTATTAAATTAGTAAATTGCATAGAAAATGTTCAAATAATGTTACAATTACAAAAATCAAAAATCCAAAGTTGAGAAGTGCCAGAATTTCATGATCACATACTATATTTTCCACAGGCTTATTGAGGCACAAGATAGACAATGCTCTAGCAGGAGTCAGGATTATGTAATAAAGGATGCTGTTTGTAAGAGAACCTTGGAAAGCGCACAACGAAAGAGGCAGGGGATTGTAGGAAAAGAAATGATGGTTTCCTGGTTAAGAACGTTGAATTCCACTCGGGAGAAGTGTTCTATTCCTGCTTTTCCACAGAGTGGTATGTGATACAGAGATTAATGGTTTGCTTTAATTTTAGCATTTGTACATTTTCAAGTGCTTGATTTTGCTACCTTAACATTTTTTTAAGATATCTGGATGCAATTAAATACATAGCATGGATAGTAGAAATGTTAAAAGTCATTTAAAAAGGTATCCATGTAATGCTACAAAAATCTTAGCGGTTACACTCAGTGCAGGCTTTGCAGTATAAAGCTTTGCAGAGGAGTGGGGTGCCAGGCTGGACCCGCCAAGCCAAAGTAGCCCCTACCTGCGGTGGACCCCGTAGAACTATAGTAGCCACTTGCCCTGGGCGGCAGAGAGTTGATCCAGTCCCCACTGGCTAATCAGAACCAATTCACCTTTTACATCCCTAATGAATTGTGTACACCATTCTGTACAACCCAAAGAGTATCCAAGACAGCAGAAAACGACACAGCACAACTCTTGCTAGGAACTGAGAAGGGGGACTGTGAAAATAATGAGGGAGACAATGTGTTTTTAAAAGTTCCAAGCTCACAAGTGCGTATTCCAAGTGCCTAATTCCGTTGACTTAATATAAAATCAAGCACCTGTGAAACAGGCAGGCACAGATGATTCACCAACAGAATACCATACACCTATTGCTTTTCTCTGCAGTGAGCTGGAAGACGTTTCAAAATACACAAAGCATAACTGAAAAACACACTGTGGCCACACTTTTAAATGATTTGAATTAAACTTGCCCTAGGCCAGCAAACTTTAAGAATGTCACAGAGACAAAATTGGGCTTCCTTATTAGGCAAATTATCCCAAGTGCTCACAAGTCTAATCATAATGTTGGAAAAGTGAGGGGAATTACAAAGCTCCATTTCCTCTGCCACCCACACAAGCTAGTATAAAAATACTACTTGCATTTCAGTTTCTTTTCCAGAGGTGACTACAGAACATGGCAAGTAAAATGTAATACTTTCATTGTTCATGTATGCCAAACCACTCACTCCTCCTTTAAGCACACTTTATCCACAAAAACCGTTCAATAATTTATCCTCATCGTCACCACCTCTTTAATGCTTCTACAGGACTACTGAGGTGGGTATGTCCAATACAGGATGTAGAGAGAGACAAGGTCTTACATGTGTGTATAAAATATCAAAAGCTGCTCAAACACATAATATGGTATTCATTGAGAGATAATGTTGAAATTCCCATTCAAGTTTCCTCTATAAGTTAATATAAATCATTTATAGCAAAATTCTGCCTGGACTTGTGACTCCACTCTAGCCAACACAGTTTCTCAGATTGTAAATCAAGCAAAGGTTTGACCATAAAGCAGGAGATATATCCAAGACTCTTTCTCTGAGAATTAAATACCATACCAGAACCTGGAACGTTGCCATTCAGTTCCAGGAACTATACAATGAGTGAATTCTCCACATCCCTCTACCTGCTCCCTAACCAGCAGAGGCTTATGTCAGTTTTGTTTGAACATGTGTTCTCTGTAACTACATGCCTTTGAGAAGCTAAATGTGAATCATTCACAGTATATAATCTACTAAATACAACATGGTTAGAACACTTTAGAAACTTATAAGCAAACATACCTTCACGTATTCCCTTTGCAACATGAATTTAATAATATCTGTTATTGATTCTTTAATGTCTGCAGGGATAGTCTGAAAGAGGAAAAAAACATTAGCTTTTCTTTTGAGCAATACATACTTTTTGGAAACGATCATATTTTGCATTTACACAAAACTGCTGCACTTTAAAAAGGATAAGTAACTCCATGGTATGGATCAGTGGTTTTCAAACTGGGGTAAACGTGAGTTCTCATCAGGGGGCACACAAGAAAAAACCCATAGTGGTGGACAACACACTTTATTTATTACACTTGGGAATGTAATCATGGGTCTATTGTGACCCTCTCTCAGACAGAGGAATGCAGTAAACTACGTTATTTGAAAAGGGGTACGCACCCTAAAAAGTCTGAAAACCACTGATACAAAGGAAGTAACTGAGACACAAAGATGTTAAGTGACTAGTTCCAGAGTTGTGAATAAAACCCAGGGTCTCAACCACATAAGCAACCCACTCAATCAGAGATGCATATTATGACTGCTGGGAAGACAACAGACATTTATTTGAAGTAAGTGGTAGGATTCAATGGCTTCAGAGGGTAGCCAAATTAGTCTGTACAAGATAAACTTTAAAAACAACGAATAGTCTGGTGGCACTTTATAGACTAACAAAACATGTAGATAAGTAACAGAGATGTAGCCGTGTTAGTCTGATCTTGGTAAAACAAAAAAAGCAGTCATGTAGCACTTTAAAGACTAACAGGATGGTTTATTAGGTGATGAGCTTTCGTGGCACAGACCTACTTTTATGGTCATGCCATTTCACTTTCAGAATATGATCTGAAGAAGTGGGTCTGCCCTAATGAAAGCTCATCACCTAATAAACCATCTTGTTAGTCTTTAAAGTGATATAAAACATATAGATGGTATCATGAGCTTTCATGGGCACAGCCCACTTCTTCAGATGACCGGTGATCTGAAGAAGTGGGCTGTGCCCACGAAAGCTCATGATACCATCTACATGTTATGTTAGTCTATAAAGTGCTACCAGATCATTTGTTGTTTTTTAAGGATTCAATGGTTAAGGTACATGAGTGGGAGTTAGAAGACTAGAGTTCTGTGCCCAACTGTGTCACTGAATGATCTTAAGCGAGTCACTTAGCCTCTCTGACTACTTCCCCATCTGTACAATGGAGACAACCTGACTATTGGCAAGAAGCACTATACTGTTTGGAAGCACTACACTGTTTAGTCCTGATGAGCCCTGTCATTTTGAAGGTCATTCACCCTTTTCCGCAGTTTTCTGAAGAGGGGTCTCAGATAGGATTCTGTCTGCTTTTGCGTGGCACTGTTTAGTTTCCCCTGCACTCCGCGTTTCACGTAATCCTCTCTGGCATTCAACTCCTTGGCCCAGACGCCCAGAAGAAACTGTAAAAGGAAGGAGTACATTTATGTCACGGTGCCACCTGGTGGCTACATCAGTAAATCACGTGCACAAAAGAGCAGAACAAATGTAAGAACTAAAAACAGCAGGGCTTTTCACGGGGGACGTGAATGAAAAGAGGCAAGGAACTGGACATGCCATAAGAGGTGGCAGGGATGAAGGTGTGAGAAAAGTGGGAGAAGAAAAAAAGGGAGATTCTGAAGTGGACATCAGTGATGGAGGAAAGATGGGATATATCTTTGAAAGCAGAGATGTAGGTGGGAGATGCTGCCAACCACAGGCTCAATTGGAATGGCCATGTGTCCAGCACTCCCTTCAGACCTAGGCCCACAGAATGTTAAGCACATTATACGTGAAGTCAAATACACAATTGGGGGCAGGATACATCCGTTTGTGTAGATTACCTCACTGACACACCAAGGGCTCTGTCTATTCCCCACCTCATCACCCAAGCTCCCTGTGCACTATTCTCTCATCCTCCTCTATTTCCAGGATTCCGCCAAATCTCTTCCCATGCTAGAGGCTGCATTCCATTCTTCCCTCCCTCCACCACCAGGGGTTCTGTGTGCTCCCACCCAGTTCTACTGTCAGCTCTGTGGCCCTTCATTTGCTTGGATTTCCACCCCATACCAGGGATTCTGTGCCCCTCCTTGCCCTCCCACAGACTAGGGCTCTCCAATTTCCCCTCCTCCCCCCCAACCTGGGCTGCGTGTGTACACTTTCCATTCCCCAATAACATACTTCTCCACTCTCTTCTGCCATGCTCTGTGCACAGTTCCATCCTCCATCCCATTATTATTATTCTCCACCTCATTATTATTAGTCTGGGAAACAAGTCATCCAAGGTGACAACATGTTAAACTTTACTGATAGAATGAAGGAGATGAAATAATAATATTGCTATACTGGAAGGCATTAATGAGTGCTATCAACCCTGAAGCTGTGGCTGTGTTAAAAAGAGAAGACTGGGCCTGCATGTCCCCCATATTCTCCTTTCAGTTTTCATAGAAATCAACAGGAGTCTGCCCACTAATGTCTAGAATACCCTAACATGAGGTGGGCAAGGGAATCTCTTTTATTGGACCAACGTCTGTTGGTAAGAGAAACAAGCTTTTGAGCCAGAGCTCTTCTTTAGGTTGCCTCTCTCACCAACCGAAGCTGGTCCAATATAAGATACTACCTCAACCACCTTGTCTTTTTCTTCTCCTGTTAAGGACAAGAAGCAATGGGCTTAAACTGCAGTAAGGGAGGTTTAGGTTGGACATTAGGAAAAACTTCCTACCTGTCAGGGTGGTTAAACACTGGACTAAATTGCATAGGGAGGTTGTGGTATCTCCATCTCTGGAGATATTTAGGAGCAGGTTAGATAGACATCTATCAGGGACGGCCTAGACGGTGCTTGGTGCTGCCATGAGGGCAGTGGACTGGACTCAATGACATCTTGAAGTCCCTTCCAGTTCTAGTTTTCTATGATCTATGATATCCACATGGCTTCACTTTCATACAGAAGTCCCTGAAATTTTTAAAATGATCAGATGTGGCATTAATGCATTCCAGACAAACGCAGAAAAACCATCAAATGTAACGTAGAGCCTCAAAAGCTCAGCCAGCATGTCCAACTTGCCCTCACTTTAATACCTGAACTGTCAGGTAGAACAATCCTGAGCCAGTCTTACCTTAAAATTCTTATGTCTGGTTACCTTCAAAAAACAATCAATGTACCCACTCACATGACTAGTTACAGCTCAAAAGGCAAGGGACTTCTGATAATCTATTTAGTTACCTGAGGACCAAAATATATGACTGAAAATTCATGTGGGTTTCTTGCCAGGAAAGCAGTTTACTTTACACTAATTGCCTAAACATGAGTTTCCTTAGTGAAGCCACACATGGAAGTCAGTGGAATTCTCTTTAAATTCCCTTATTAAATCTGGTAGAAACAGATGGAATTTTATTTTCTCCAATATGCAGTTTTTCTATTTTTTAAAATGGTAATTTTGTATGCACTATATTTGCACATAGGGACCATAAACCTGCTTAATCTTTCTGAATTTAGGAACAACCACTACCGAATTAATTATCACAGGACAAGACGCAAGCAGAACCATGTTAATAAAGACCTATTCTGCAGAAGTGCTAATCACTCACCAGCTCCTGCAGGAAATAATGAGAGCTTCTGGTCACTGAACACTTTTGAGAATCTCACCCTAAGTGTGGACATAAAAATTGACATGGCAGAATAACCACAACTGGTATTTCCATCCTGAGTATATTCAGTTACATCTGATCTCTTCTCTGCTGAAATATAACTAAGTTACCAAGTTAAAGTTCTTTACCTTCAAGAATTTGGTTATGATGTCCATGTCTTTGTGATCATCACCTCGTCCTAAGGATTCTCCCAAAGCCTGAAAGAGAGGGGGGAAGTCAAAGCATTTCCTCATATTTCTGTGATACATATTTGTCAAAAAAGAAAAGTTGTCAGATCACTCACCAGTGTTTTGAAAGCAATTTTTACAACGAGCAATCTAAAACTATTTGGAAACAGAGTGACAACAACCCAGCACATGTCATAAGCATCCATGGAACTACGAATGACACTGAGTGTTGAAGACCAAGTTTTACATTTCAGAAACCTAAATAATTATTTTTAACCTACAAATCATTCCTTGACTATTAATAACTGTCCTGATTTGCTAAAGTGCCGAGCATTCATAGCTCAAATGGATTTCAATGGGAATTGTGAGTGCACAACATTTCCAAAAACTCTACAATCACATTGAAGTTATTCCACTTTTTATACTATTTAGCTTCTGTTTAGTTTTATTACATTTCTCTTAAAAGGGACAGTTTTTTTATTTTGTTTTTTAATAGTCAACTTTTCTCTCAGGCTCTCAGACACTCCTACCATGCTGAAATGTCAAGGTTGCTAACAATGACATGGAAATTCTTAAGAAGATTGTGTGTGTGTGTGTGTGTGTGTGTGTGTGTGTATTGTTTGATATGTGTGTGTGTGTGTGTGTGTGTGTGTGTGTGTGTGTGTGTGTGTGTGTGTGATTTCATGAATTTAATTTTCATCTATTTCCCAAAATTGTGCGTTTGTTTTTAAACTAAAATCCAAATTTAGAATCTAACCCATCATTAGCATTTTATTATTCAACCTCAACTCATTTTAAAGGCATAAAATTGTGAATGTGTTCAGATACCACTAAAAAGGCCAAATAAATATCAACTTTCCAAAAATATTCACATCTTAGCCCAGACCGAGCTGATACTAATACAGACCCAAAAGGTCATATCTGATAAAATTAAAGAACGGAAAATAAGAGTTTATAACAGTGATGGGCAACCTAAGCTAGTGAGTGGGCCACATGAATAGTCTTCCTTCATCTCAGTGGAGCATAAGACTTACCTTGCTGCTCCCCTGACTAATCCCACAAGAGGAAGGCTTCTATATGGACCCCTACTAATGGTTATAATGAGAGACTTGACTTCTAAATCGACTGCTTCCACAAACATGCATGGGCTGACATTGTCAGCAAACAGCATATAACATATAACCTCAGTCATGCAGAACGCAATGCTATACACAGCGTCAAAAACCATTCTGATCTCATAATCAAAAAGGCTGACAAGGGGGGTGCTGTAGTCATCATGAACAGATTATGAACAGGAGGCCACCAGACAACTCACCAACACCAGATTCTACAAGCCTCTCTCCTGTGATCCTACTAAAGAATACCAAAAAAACTCAACCCCTGAAAACTGCTCATGAAGCTCTCTGATGCTGCTCAGGACCAAATTTACACTAACACCCTTCCTAATCCCCAACCAGGAGTTTTCTATCTGCCACCCAAGATACACAAACCTGGAAATCCTGGACGACCCATCATCTCAAACACTGGCACACTTAAAACAGGATTATCTAGCTACAGTAAACTTCCGATAATCCAGCACCTTTAGGACTTAGGGGGTGCCGGACTATCAGCTATACCGGACTATCAGAAGGGGGGGGGATTATGAGGGGTCTGGGGTGGAGTGTGGG